ACTTTAAAAAAAAAAGAAAAGAAAATAGGATTTGAAAATGAAGGGTTTGGGGTGTTTCTTGATGGAAGAGGGTTGTCTGTCAAAGGTAAAATGGTTATTGGGTGAAGCAGAGAATCTGGTACTAGGCATAAGGGTCTTCAAAGAGAAACAGTTACGACAGAGACAATCCTATCTTAAAGGAATTAGTTCCATTTGGAACCCACAATTGCAAATACCTGTATACGCTACTCCTGTATACAGTATTATTCTTAACATATACTGTAAGACATAAGGATCTCGCCTCATAGTGTTTTGTAGGAGAAAATGTGCCTGTTGACCATTATACTTTGGGTCAGATATAACTGTAGAACATCTGGACGTTTTGTTTGTCACTGTGTGTCTATGTACAGTGAGGGAAAAAAGTATTTGATCACATTTTAGCAGACTCTCTTATCCAGAGCAACTTCCAGGAGCAATTAGGGTTAAGTGCCTTGCTCAAGCGCACATCAACAGATTCTTCACGTAGTCGGTTTGGGGATTAGAACCAGCGACCTTAAAGTTACCGACACAACGCTCTTAACCACTAAGCTACCTGCCGCCCTGATCCCCTGCTGATTTTGTACATTTGCCCACTGACAAAGAAATGATCAGTCTATAATTTTAATGGTAGGTTTATTTGAACAGTGAGAGACATAATAACAACAACAAAAATCCAGAAAAACACATGTCAAAAATGTTATAAATTGATTTGCATTTTAATGAGGGAAATAAGTATTTGACCCCCTCTCAATCAGAAAGATTTCTGGCTCCCAGGTGTCTTTTATACACGTAATGAGCTGAGATTAGGAGCACACTCCTAAGTGCTCCTAATCTCAGCTTGTTAACTGTATAAAAGACACCTGTCCACAGAAGCAATCAATCAATCAGATTCCAAACTCTCCACCATGGCCAAGACCAAAGAGCTCTCCAAGGATGTCAGGGACAAGATTGAAGACCTACACAAGGCTGGAATGGGCTACAAGACCATCGCCATGCAGCTTGGTGAGAAGGTGACAACAGTTGGTACGATTATTCGCAAATGGAAGAAACACAAAATAACTGTCAATCTCCCTCGGCCTGGGGCTCCATGCAAGATTTCACCTCGTGGAGTTGCAATGATCATCAGAACGGTGAGGAATCAGCCCAGAACTACACGGGAGGATCTTGTCAATGATCTCAAGGTAGCTGGGACCATAGTCACCAAGAAAACAATTGGTAACACACTACGCAGTGAAGGACTGAAATCCTGCAGTGCCCGCAAGGTCCCCCTGCTCAAGAAAGCACATATACATGCCCGTCTGAAGTTTGCCAATGAACATCTGAATGATTCAACTGGGTGAAAGTGTTGTGGTCAGATGAGACCAAAATGGAGCTCTTTGGCATCAACTCAACTCGCCGTGTTTGGAGGAGGAGGAATGCTGCCTATGACCCCAAGAACACCATCCCCACTGTCAAACATGGAGGTGGAAACATTATGCTTTGGGGGTGTTTTTCTGCTAAGGGGACAGGACAACTTCACCGCATCAAAGGGATGATGGATGGGGCCATGTACCGTCAAATCTTGGGTGAGAACCTCCTTACCTCAGCCAGGGCATTGAAAATGGGTTGTGGATGGGTATTCCAGCATGACAATAACCCAAAACAAACGGTCAAGGCACCAGAGTGTGTCAGAGCACCTTACCGATCACTGCACCTGTACACAGCCCATCTGAAATTAGCCCACCCAACTACCTCATCCCTATATTGTTATTTATTTTGCTCTTTTGCACCCCAGTATCTCTATTTGCACATAATCTCTTGCACATCTATCATTCCAGTGTTAATACAATTGTAATTATTTTGCACTATAGCCTATTTATTGCCTTACCTCCATAACTTGCTACATTTGCACACACTGTATATATATTTTCTGTTGTATTTTTGACTTTATGTTTTTTTACCCCATATGTAACTCTGTGTTGTTTTTATCGCACTGCTTTGCTTTATCTTGGCCAGGTCGCAGTTGTAAATGAGAACTTGTTCTCAACTGGCTTACCTGGTTAAATAAAGGTGAAATAAAAAAAATAAAAAAAAGGAGTGGCTCAAGAAGAAGCACATTAAGGTCCTGGAGTTGCCCAGCCAGTCTCCAGACCTTAATCCCATAGAAAATCTGTGGATGGAGCTGAAGGTTCGAGTTGCCAAACGTCAGCCTCGAATCCTTAATGACTTGGAGAAGATCTGCAAAGAGAAGTGGGACAAAATCCCTCCGGAAATGTGTGCAAACCTGGTGGCCAACTACAAGAAACGTCTGACCTCTGTGATTGCCAACAAGGGTTTTGCCACCAAGTACTAAGTCATGTTTTGCAGAGGGGTCAAATACTTATTTCCCTCATTAAAATGCAAATCAATTTATAACATATTTAACATGTGTTTTTCTGGATTTTTTAAAATGTATTCTGTCTCTCACTGTTCAAATAAACCTACCATTAAAATTATAGATTGATAATTTCTTTGTCAGTGGGCAAACGTACAAAATCAGCAGGGGATCAAATACTTTTTTCCCTCACTGTATACCTGACTGTCCACACATCTCAAGACCACTAAAAGTCCTCTGAGCTGAAGCCGTAGGCATTGGCTCTGGGAGCTAATGCAAGTCTTTGGGTCCAAGGCAAGGTTAGTCGTCAAGTGTGCATAGTTCACCGAACCACCCTTACAGGCAAGGGCCGTGCACAGAGTTCTGGGGGGGGGGGTCAGATGCTCAGTGTTTCCTTGATTGGTCTGAATCGATGACTGTCTCATCATATACCCCTGCCACATTCAGGTACAAAATGTTGACGAAAGCTCATGGACCGAAGATCTACTATTATGCTACTATGGTACAACTCGCAAAGACGAGAAACGTGTCAAGAAGATTTTTTGATGACCATTCGAGTAGCATTGAATCTCAAGCGTCCACTCGATGCCAACCGATTAAATTATTGTTGTTTTTGTTTTCACATTTTACGGACGGGAACACCTTGTTTCACTCACCTTTGGGTTGCGCAGGTCAACTATTAGGGCGATAGGCTAAATTCTTACTTGTCAAAGCGCAAGAAAAATAAGTTAGCAGATTATAAAATGGCAGATCTGGAGCGAGTTCCTCCAGGCTGTGCTCTGTGGTGCCCTGGCACCTAAACTCCACTATTGATTTAGGCCTACGTTACATTTTTAGACAATACAATTAGTATACCTGGCTACAACAACACAGTGCAATGACGGATGTATTATTGTTATCGAGTGAATACGCAATTGTTGTCCATAGGCTGTAAACTGCAGTGATGTAGGCTAATATGAATAACCGCTCACCCATATTGTTTTGTTTCATGCTGAAATTAACTGCATTGTCCTACAGCCTAGGCCTGGTTATGCCATCCATTTGGATCAGTTTGGGTCTATCCTCAACCATTAGAAGGTCCAGAAAGGTACATTAGCAAGCCCGGTGTTAAGATTGGCCTACTATAGGAAATCCTTCCCAACTCACTGCCCGTTCTTAATGCTGTAGCCTATTTTACATTCAGCAAGCAAGAGCAAGCACAGATAGAACAATGAGACAGATATTTCACCGGAATGTATAAATGTGAAGCATCTGCTTGGCGTTTCCACTCACTATCAAATCTGGCAGTGAGAGGAAGCCAAGTGGCCAGCAGTGGGAGAAGATGGGAACGAGATGGATTTTGGTCAACATTCTGCTAGTTTACTCATCGATGAAACATTTGATCTCAATACAGTTTTCTGCTCCCAAAACTAGAATCTGTTACGAACAGAGTGGACTGAGTTTTGTACACTTTACCCTTTGCCAAAGATTCCGAAAAAATTGCGTTTGTTTTCGAAGGAGTGCAAAGGTCAAATGTTTTTATTTCACACGCTCACTTCAAAGAGTAGGTGTTTCCCAACGGAAATATGCAAATGTATGAGGACAGACGCTGGGGAGTGAACATTTAAAATGAACAGACATGAAACAGAACACGTCTGGACAGGAGAGACATAACGACATGAAACAGAACACATCTGGACTTGGGGAGACATAACGACATGAAACAGAACACGTCTGGACAGGAGAGACATTACGACATGAAACAGAACACGTCTGGACAGGGGAGACATTACGACATGAAACAGAACACGTCTGGACAGGAGAGACATTACGACATGAAACAGAACACGTCTGGACAGGGGAGACATTACGACATGAAACAGAACACGTCTGGACTTGGGGAGACATTACGACATGAAACAGAACACGTCTGGACAGGGGAGACATTACGACATGAAACAGAACACGTCTGGACAGGAGAGACATAACGACATGAAACAGAACACGTCTGGACAGGAGAGACATTACGACATGAAACAGAACACGTCTGGACAGGGGAGACATAACGACATGAAACAGAACACGTCTGGACAGGAGAGACATAACGACATGAAACAGAACACGTCTGGACAGGGGAGACATTACGACATGAAACAGAACACGTCTGGACTTGGGGAGACATAACGACATGAAACAGAACACGTCTGGACTTGGGGAGACATTACGACATGAAACAGAACACGTCTGGACAGGAGAGACATTACGACATGAAACAGAACACGTCTGGACAGGAGAGACATAACGACATGAAACAGAACACGTCTGGACAGGGGAGACATTACGACATGAAACAGAACACGTCTGGAATGGGGAGACATAACGACATGAAACAGAACACGTCTGGACTTGGGGAGACATTACGACATGAAACAGAACACGTCTGGACAGGAGAGACATTACGACATGAAACAGAACACGTCTGGACAGGGGAGACATTACGACATGAAACAGAACACGTCTGGACAGGGAGACATTACGACATGAAACAGAACACGTCTGGACAGGGGAGACATTACGACATGAAACAGAACACGTCTGGACAGGAGAGACATTACGACATGAAACAGAACACGTCTGGACAGGGGAGACATTACGACATGAAAACAGAACACGTCTGGACAGGGGAGACATTACGACATGAAACAGAACACGTCTGGACAGGAGAGACATAACGACATGAAACAGAACACGTCTGGACAGGGGAGACATAACGACATGAAACAGAACACGTCTGGACAGGGGAGACATTACGACATGAAACAGAACACGTCTGGACAGGAGAGACATAACGACATGAAACAGAACACGTCTGGACAGGAGAGACATTACGACATGAAACAGAACACGTCTGGACAGGAGAGACATACGACATGAAACAGAACACGTCTGGACAGGAGAGACATAACGACATGAAACAGAACACGTCTGGACAGGGGAGACATACGACATGAAACAGAACACGTCTGGACAGGAGAGACATTACGACATGAAACAGAACACGTCTGGACAGGAGAGACATTACGACATGAAACAGAACACGTCTGGACAGGAGAGACATAACGACATGAAACAGAACACGTCTGGACAGGGGAGACATAACGACATGAAACAGAACACGTCTGGACAGGAGAGACATTACGACATGAAACAGAACACGTCTGGACAGGAGAGACATTACGACATGAAACAGAAACACGTCTGGACAGGGGAGACATAACGACATGAAACAGAACACGTCTGGACAGGAAGACATAACGACATGAAACAGAAACACGTCTGGACAGGAGAGACATAACGACATGAAACAGAACACGTCTGGACAGGAGAGACATTACACATGAAACAGAACACGTCTGGACAGGAGAGACATTACGACATGAAACAGAACACGTCTGGACAGGGAGAGACATTACGACATGAAACAGAACACGTCTGGACAGGGGAGACATTAACGACATGAAACAGAACACGTCTGGACAGGGAGACATAACGACATATAACAGAACACGTCCTGGACAGGAGAGACATTACGACATGAAACAGAACACGTCTGGACAGGGAGACATTACGACATGAAACAGAACACTTCTGGACAGGGGAGACATTACGACATGAAACAGAACACGTCTGGACAGGGGGAGACATAACGACATGAAACAGAACACGTCTGGACAGGGGAGACATTACGACATGAAACAGAACACGTCTGAAGACATGAAACAGAACACGTCTGGACAGGGGAGACATAACGACATGAAACAGAACACGTCTGGACAGGGGAGACATAACGACATGAAACAGAACACGTCTGGACAGGAGAGACACAACGACATGAAACAGAACACGTCTGGACAGGAGAGACATAACGACATGAAACAGAACACGTCTGGACAGGAGAGACATTACGACATGAAACAGAACACGTCTGGACAGGGGAGACATAACGACATGAAACAGAACACGTCTGGACAGGAGAGACATTATTACATGAAACAGAACACGTCTGGACAGGGGAGACATAACGACATGAAACAGAACACGTCTGGACAGGAGAGACATTACGACATGAAACAGAACACGTCTGGACAGGGGAGACATAACGACATGAAACAGAACACGTCTGGACAGGGGAGACATAACGACATGAAACAGAACACGTCTGGACAGGAGAGACACAACGACATGAAACAGAACACGTCTGGACAGGAGAGACATAACGACATGAAACAGAACACGTCTGGACAGGAGAGACATTACGACATGAAACAGAACACGTCTGGACAGGGGAGACATAACGACATGAAACAGAACACGTCTGGACAGGAGAGACATTATTACATGAAACAGAACACGTCTGGACAGGGGAGACATAACGACATGAAACAGAACACGTCTGGACAGGAGAGACATTACGACATGAAACAGAACACGTCTGGACAGGGGAGACATAACGACATGAAACAGAACACGTCTGGACAGGGGAGACATAACGACATGAAACAGAACACGTCTGGACAGGAGAGACACAACGACATGAAACAGAACACGTCTGGACAGGAGAGACATTACGACATGAAACAGAACAAGTCTGGACAGGGGAGACATAACGACATGAAACAGAACACGTCTGGACAGGAGAGACATAACGACATGAAACAGAACACGTCTGGACAGTGGAGACATTACGACATGAAACAGAACACGTCTGGACTTGGGGAGACATAACGACATGAAACAGAACACGTCTGGACTTGGGGAGACATTACGACATGAAACAGAACACGTCTGGACAGGAGAGACATTACGACATGAAACAGAACACGTCTGGACAGGAGAGACATAACGACATGAAACAGAACACGTCTGGACAGGGGAGACATTACGACATGAAACAGAACACGTCTGGACTTGGGGAGACATAACGACATGAAACAGAACACGTCTGGACTTGGGGAGACATTACGACATGAAACAGAACACGTCTGGACAGGAGAGACATTACGACATGAAACAGAACACGTCTGGACAGGGGAGACATTACGACATGAAACAGAACACGTCTGGACAGGAGAGACATTACGACATGAAACAGAACACGTCTGGACAGGGGAGACATTACGACATGAAACAGAACACGTCTGGACAGGAGAGACATTACGACATGAAACAGAACACGTCTGGACAGGGGAGACATTACGACATGAAACAGAACACGTCTGGACAGGAGAGACATTACGACATGAAACAGAACACGTCTGGACAGGGGAGACATAACGACATGAAACAGAACACGTCTGGACAGGAGAGACATAACGACATGAAACAGAACACGTCTGGACAGGGGAGACATAACGACATGAAACAGAACACGTCTGGACAGGGGAGACATTACGACATGAAACAGAACACGTCTGGACAGGAGAGACATAACGACATGAAAACAGAACACGTCTGGACAGGAGAGACATTACGACATGAAACAGAACACGTCTGGACAGGAGAGACATAACGACATGAAACAGAACACGTCTGGACAGGAGAGACATAACGACATGAAACAGAACACGTCTGGACAGGGGAGACATTACGACATGAAACAGAACACGTCTGGACAGGAGAGACATTACGACATGAAACAGAACACGTCTGGACAGGAGAGACATTACGACATGAAACAGAACACGTCTGGACAGGAGAGACATAACGACATGAAACAGAACACGTCTGGACAGGGGAGACATAACAACATGAAACAGAACACGTCTGGACAGGAGAGACATTACGACATGAAACAGAACACGTCTGGACAGGAGAGACATTACGACATGAAACAGAACACGTCTGGACAGGGGAGACATAACGACATGAAACAGAACACGTCTGGACAGGAGAGACATAACGACATGAAACAGAACACGTCTGGACAGGAGAGACATAACGACATGATACAGAACACGTCTGGACAGGGGAGACATTACGACATGAAACAGAACACGTCTGGACAGGAGAGACATTACGACATGAAACAGAACACGTCTGGACAGGGGAGACATTACGACATGAAACAGAACACGTCTGGACAGGGGAGACATAACGACATGATACAGAACACGTCTGGACAGGAGAGACATTACGACATGAAACAGAACACGTCTGGACAGGAGAGACATTACGACATGAAACAGAACACGTCTGGACAGGGGAGACATTACGACATGAAACAGAAAACGTCTGGACAGGGGAGAATTACGAAGAAACCAGGAAACACGTCTGGAACAGGGGAGACATACGACATGAAACAGAACACGTCTGGACAGGGGAGACTTAAGACATGAAACAGAACACGTCTGGACAGGGAGACATTAACGACATGAAACAGAACACGTCTGGACAGGGGAGACATAACGACATGAAACAGAACAGTCTGGACAGGGAGAGACATACGACATGAAACAGAACACGTCATGGACAGGAGAGACATAACGACATGAAACAGAACACGTCTGGACAGGAGAGACATTACGACATGAAAACAGAACACGTCTGGAAGGGGAGACATTACGACATGATGAAACAGAACACGTCTGGACAGGAGAGGGGACATTACTACATGAAACAGAACACGTCTGGACAGGGGAGACATTATCGACATGAAACAGAACACGTCTGGACAGGGGAGACATTACGACATGAAACAGAACACGTCTGGACGGAGAGACATTACGACATGAAACAGAACACGTCTGGACAGGAGAGACATTACGACATGAAACAGAACACGTTCGGGACAGGAGAGACATTACGACATGAAACAGAACAGTCTGGACAGGAGAGACATTACGACATGAAACAGAAACACGTCTGGAAGGAGAGACATTACGACATGAAACAGAACACGTCTGGACAGGGAGAGACATTATTACATGAAACAGAACACGTCTGGACAGGAGAGACATTACGACATGAAACAGAACACGTCTGGACAGGGGAGACATTACAACATGAAACAGAACACGTCTGGACAGGAGAGACATAACGACATGAAACAGAACACGTCTGGACAGGAGAGACATAACGACATGAAACAGAACACGTCTGGACATGGGGAGACATTACGACATGAAACAGAACACGTCTGGACATGGAGACATTACGACATGAAACAGAACACGTCTGGACAGGGGAGACATTACGACATGAAAACAGAACACGTCTGGACAGGGGAGACATTACGACATGAAACAGAACACGTCTGGACAGGAGAGACATAACGACATGAAACAGAACACGTCTGGACAGGAGAGACATTACGACATGAAACAGAACACGTCTGGACAGGAGAGACATTACGACATGAAACAGAACACGTCTGGACAGGGGAGACATAACGACATGAAACAGAACACGTCTGGACAGGAGAGACATAACGACATAAAACAGAACACGTCTGGACAGGGGAGACATAACGACATGAAACAGAACACGTCTGGACAGGAGAGACATTACGACATGAAACAGAACACGTCTGGACAGGGGAGACATTACGACATGAATGCAGACACAGGGATCACAACTGAGGAACAGACAGATATAGGGGAGGTAAAGACTTCTCAACATGTCAGAACGGCGACAGTGAAATGCGGTAGGCGAAGTCACACGCAGGACACAGAGCTACTGGAAACCGTACTTTAATGAAAGTCGCCAGTAAATAAACAGTCTCCAAACAACGGAGAAAAACGCACACTGCCGACGACACAAACAATAACACACAACACACAATGCACGACAGAGGGTTAAATAGGGAATACAATACAACATAATGGGGAACAGGTGTACACAATCAGACACAACAAGTCAAACACCGAAACATAGATCGGTGGCAGCTAGTACTCCGGGGACGACGAACGCTGAAGCCTGCCCGAGCAGGGAGGAGGAGCAGCCTCGGCTGAATCCGTGACACAACAGCTTCTACCCCCAAGCCATAAGACTCCTGAACAGCTAATCATGGCTACCCGGACCCGGACTGCCCCCCCACCCCATCTTTTTACACTGATGCTACTCTGTTAATTATTTATGCATAGTCACTTTAACTCTACCCACATGTACATATTACTTCAACTACCTCAACTAGTCAGTGCCCCCGCACATTGACTCTGCACCGGTACCCCCCTGTATATATAGCCTCCCTACTGTTCTTTTATTTTACTTCTGCTCTTTTTTTCTCAACACTTTTTTGTTGTTTTATTCTACTTTTTTATTAAAAATAAATGCACTGTTGGTTAAGGGCTGTAAGTAAGCATTTCACTGTAATGTCTGCACCTGTTGAATTTGGCTCATGTGGCCAATAACATTTGATTTGATTTGATTTGATTCAATTAAACAGTGATGAAGTCCAGGTGAGTCCAATGAAGCGCAGATGCGCGTAACGATGGGACAGGTGTGTGTAACGATGGGACAGGTGTTGGTAACGATGGGACAGGTGTTGGTAACGATGGGACAGGTGTGTGTAACGATGGGACAGGTGTATGTAACGATGGGACAGGTGTGTGTAACGATGGGACAGGTGTTGGGTAACGAATGGACAGGTGTGTGTAACGATGGGACAGGTGTGGGTAATGACGGGCAGCCTGGTGCCCTCGAGCGCCAGGGAGGGGGAGCGGGAGCAGGCGTGACACAAATGTATGATAGAACGCCCAATAGGATCGCGCTAGCTCGTGCTTGGCTCTGCCCACCTCCTTGCTTGTTCTGCCCACTATGGCTCATTTGTGAGCATTTCTCCTTTGCCAAGATAATCCATCCACCTGACAGGTCAAACTAAATGATCCTTGCACAGGTGCACCTTGTGCTGGGGACAATAAAAGGCCCCTCTAAAATGTGCAGTTTTGTCACACAACACAATGCCACAGATAACTCAAGTTTTGAGGGAGCGTGCAATTGGCATGCTGACTGCAGGAATGTCCACCAGAGCTGGTGCCAGATAATTGAATGTTGATTTCTCGACCATAAGCCGCCTCCAACATCGTTTTAGAGAATTTGGCAGTACTTCCAACCAGCCTCACAACCGCATACCACGTGTAACTACAGCAGGCCAGGACCTCCACATCCGGCTTCTTCACCAGCGAGATCGTCTGAGAGAGACCAGCCACCTGGACAACTGATGAAACTGTGGGTTTGCACAAATGAAGAATTTCTGCACAAACTGTCAAAAACCAGAAAACGACCTTACTTTAGTTGGCTGCTTTGAGCAACATTTGTATTTAATATAACCTCTTCTAGGAGACTATTGTGTGTGTGTATGAACTATGTGGAATATTTTTGGACCATTGGCTTCCCATACTAATCAAGTGCCCCCCCCCAAAAAAAAAAAAAGGTTTGGAATAAAACCTCAAGGTAAGAACAAAAACTGAATTGTGTGCAAAAACTATTTACAAAGATATTTACAGATGTTCACTGTTGCAGTGCCAACTTTGGGAGCTTATGGTCCTTGAAAAACTCCTCTAGTCCAGCAATATAAGTCTGCCAGAGGTTGTCACGCTGGATGGGGATGGAGGCTTTGGTGGTCCACACAACGAAAAAGCAGGTGTCCCTTCCAGTGATGTGGAGCTGACCTTGGACCTGGTGCCTGTAAGGATGGCCTTCCCTTCTCCTGGATATAGAAATCCTTCAATGGTAAGGTTCCTTGCACCATACGGACACTTGACTTCCACCACCAGACCATCCGGTGAGGCACCCAGGATCCCAGACCCTGTGACCCAAAGCCCTGACTCCTGCACATCCATCCCTGTAGCCGTTTTGAATGCCTTGATGCTGTCCTCTTCATGATCTGGGCACCACTTTACAGACAACACCTCATCCAACGACTGTGATCCGAGGACAGAGGGTTGTAGTCTTCGGCCGGGTACAGGTCCTCCACTGACTGCACCTGGTTGGACCACGGCTGGCTTCCTCCACTCGCATTCCACATCCTCACAGCCGATATTGTGAACCGCAAAAATAGATAATGCATCCGCATGGCTAAACTTATGAGCTCCACGGGGTCATTCGCATGTGGTAGAGAGAATCCCCTGGTCACATATAGAGACCTGCCAAGAGGAAGGATGTTAAGTGCCACATGCCTTTCAATGCATGACTTTGAACACTTTGAAATGCATTTGTTGTAAGCAATGTGCTATATAAATAAAGTTTGATTTGATTGAAGACATGACAGCTGTAGAATATTTAACAAACTGTAATATGTGCAGTTTTTCCATAAACTTTTAATTGATAACTTGGGATTTTATCACTTGACATATTAATCATATAGTGGGAAGGATCCTATAAATCAAGACTGTGTCAATGCATGTACCACTCCGAATAAATAAATACTGTGCCTTTAAAGATTTGTCTCTGGTCATGAAACTACAATACAGGCTGGATGTCTAAACTAAGTCTTATTCTGAACGTCAATAGATTTTTAGATTCATTCTCATCAATGACAACATTCTAGAACTGAGTTATCACTCATCTAAGTCTAATATCCGGGGTAATCTGGTTAATGATTATATCATTGATTAAGTGGCTCTTTCCTTGTAGAATGTTGACAGCTGTAACTTAATTTCATAGCTACACTCACCGACACAGGATAAACTGTATCCCTCATGCTGGCCCTGACCAAACCGGTAGGTTGCCCCTCACTATAGCTGCGCTTCTCCACGTGGCCAGACTTATAGTGGTCTTCTCTGCTTTTAATGCTCTTATGCTCATCCTTGAGAAATGCCATGAGGTCTGAACTAGACACCAAAGTCGACATAATGTACAAACAATTACATACTATTCAAACTATTATCTAGGCTAAGTAAATTAAAATGCTTTTTTGATCTACTGCTCTGCTAACTAGCTGGCTAGCTAAGACAGAGAAAGGGGAGATAAGATGTTCATGGATTTGACACGGTCTCAGATCACGCTGGTGAACGGTAGCTGAAAGTGTCGGCTTGAGATGACGTGCAGAAGCTTCCTGCAGGAATTTGTAGTCCTTCTGTGGTCTTCTCTGTTGCTAATTAGCATTTTGATTTTTTATCAGAGTTAATTGAGGCGAATATATTGATGAAACTCACCTTGTCCGATAGAGAATTACACGGTTATCAAAACGTCACGCCAGGGTAAGCCTACACAAAACACAGCCCTTACATGAAGTAGTTCTAAAATCCCAGACGCAAAAATGAATGGTGAA